CAGCTTCCTTATGAATATTCTCAAGACCTCGGCAAATGCTGGGGATTTATATTTTATTCAGATTCATGCAACCATTATCAGATAAATACGTCGAAAGATTAATTTTTCGCATTCTTACTTAACATGTTTCATTATTATTAGAAGATCTGGAATGAAAAATTTAGTTACCATCACTAGCTTATGGTAATGTAAGGACTGATGTTGGAATTTTCCACAATTGGATAAATTCGCCTCACGATGACATTGAATTTCTCTTACTCTTGCTACCCAAAATGTATGCTCAATCACATTGGACTCCATTTCGGCCTCGCCTGGGTTTCATCAGCACTTACAACCGGATTTGAAGCTATGTCATGAGTGTAAAGTGGTGAAACTTATCACTATGCCATTTTTCCGCTGTGGCGTAATGGTTGCTTTTCGCCATTTTGGGCACACAACTTGGTTTATAATCGGATTGGGGATGCGGATGAGACGCAAGCGAGGCCTCAATAGAGCTCACAATGGCGGATCCAACCTTTTTGGAAGCAAGGGTAAATGAAATTCATTGCTACCGGGAAGCTCATTCATTTTATTGAGAAAAATTCCACTATCAGTCTCCATTCCCTTAAGCGACCAAAAGTAACTAAATTCCTTACGAATTTTTCTGTTATTATTCCCAGCTCGTCTGGTTATTATCCTTTGCCTATACCTAGCCTTATCTATTTTCAGTATCCGCCCCCACCCCTTGGGCTTCAAAAGACAGACACTTCAGCAGTTCCACATGCCCCAAGTCAGAAGAATCGGCCTAGTGATATTATTCTTCATTCAGCTCGCTCTACCAACCAAGGCATAGACGATCCTGCCTTCTTTCCTCCGGCCAATCAAGTATGATATCTAATCTTCATTTTAGTCCCACTCACCCTACTTTGCGAGCATTCTATGCGGATTATCCAAATTATTTTCTCCTTTATCTCGAAGCCTATCAAATCCTAAAGATGTAACAATCTATGTAATTATTATATATCAGGATATATATTTGGCTTTGATATTTATTCTTGCATATTCACCACAGTAAATTAAGGGCGCATGCCATAAGTAGGTTGAGAACAGTATATAAACATGGTAATATTTTATTATGTGAATGGGTCAAATATTTTAGCTAGTGTTTCGATCTCTTCAGGATTATAATATCAATTTAATGCAATGGTGTACACCACTTGAAATATCATATTTTTCAATTACACCTCTCGAGCAAAAATGATTGATAGGGCACGCTTTCAAGGCGAGATGGACTTCAAACCTAACATTTTTATCACAGTCAAACGAACCTTACGCATATACCAGAGCAATACATATTTAGCCTTTCTAGATTTTCCACAATCTTGTCTAAATAACACATTCTTGGCGATAATTTATCATTATTACCTCACTTTCATCTCATAATACTGCATACTTTGAATGCTTGACTTTTATTTCGACTGAATCATCAACTATACACTAGCCACATACGCATTAATTAATAAATGCCCTATTGTAGACAAAAGGTCTATTTTCTTTAGACAAATCATTGTATCGTAAACTGGCATTTGGCTTCATATCACGCTTAGCGCTATTTGCTCTTTTAGCGACTTATTTGTATCGTGAATGCTTAGAATTACCACTTTATTAAGTATCTTAACCCATTCTTGCCCATTCTCTGCTTCTGGGTTGAAATAAACCAAGGATTATCGTTACTGAGGGTTCGCTAAGTAAGGGACTCGTCATCACCCGTGTGTTGTGTAGTTCAGTGTTTACCCCTCACCACCATGTAAACCATCCTGCTTCGGAGATTGTTAGAGGCCTGATGAAACATTGAGGCGAGGTCGACATTTTAACCCACCAGATGAGAACATCTTTTGAAGGACAAAGCCAAGTGAAATTCAGTGGCATTACGTTGCCTACTCATTTGATTACGAGAAGTTTGCCATTCGTCCCTAAATCATATTAAGTCATTAAATCCAGCGTTTAAAATAGTCAACTGGACTTGACACCATCTTCTATTAGTTCATACTACTATTTTATTCATTTCGACATGTCCTTTCCCTACGACAAAAGAATTGTAAAAGAAACCTCTAACTTCATGAGGCATTCTTATATCTTGTGTTATTTCTTGATACTCACTACGCCAGAACCCTATATCATCGCTTACTGTCTGTAGCCTCATTAAATAATATTATTGATGGGTTTTAGTAGTTTTATAAATTTCGTTTATACACCCTTTTTTTCTTTAGTATTCCTAGGTCAAGGAAACATTGGTGCCAAGTCATAAATTAGGCTTTTACTTATTTTTAAAGTTGGGTTCTATCTGAATTCTAATAGGTATATAGATAGGGTCAAGCAGTGCCTTACTTTAGAATAAACTGGTAGAATATCATCTTGCTACTTATAACTTAATTTGAGATATTAATTTGCTTTATTTTAAATTTACTGGAGTTTCAGTCCCTTTGATTATTTTGCCATCCTTTCATATTAAATTGTTGTTTGCTTTTGTTTTTCCCTTATATATGTTTTAGATAGTTCTACCATCTCCGAGTCTTTCAACTGACGAGCAATTCGACACTTCCCAACTATTGGCAAGTTATTCACAATGCTCGATTCTTCAGCCCAATTTTGACATTTCAAACAATTCTTCATCTTCTGATCGGGCCTCATTTCATTGTTCCGAAGGCGGGCTGTTAAGCTTTTTGAATCTATACGAACGTCCTTCGCATAAGACATCTCAGGTAATCTTCTCTGACAGCATAACTGTGCCCCCCGATGGTAGTGACTACTGTCGGATGATACTATGCTTAACACTATACGCCTGAAGCACTACTTTTAATTTTTTGCACTTATGCGAAAATTTATGTCGCTGTCTTACCTGAATTCTTGGATTGAGTGGGTACTTTTGTTATAATATCGTGGCTGCTCAAACATGCATGGATTAATATAATATGAATTTTTCTATTTACTTCATAAACATTCTTTCGAAACTTCGCAAACACGCTTTTGTGATGATAAGATTGATTGTTGCAGGATTTTAGACAAACTAAGATTGTGAACTTTACTATTCTATTTGTTCTATTCCTGCGCTTATTTAAATTTTATTATTTAATAAACTTTACATATCTTCATTCATTTGTTATTACATTTCATAGTAAGACTACGAAAATTATGCACAGACTTGATATATTTATAGAAGTTGTTTGACCTTGTTTTCGCAACTTAGTCATATTGGTAGGAAGACCTATAGAAACGCACCTAGTCAGGAGTCTATAGTATGCATGATAATTTCCAGAATCGGACCGTGGACGTGGTACATATGACCAAGTTGCAAAAACAAGGTCAAACAACTTCTATACAACGAAAGGGGATTGTGACCTTACAAAAGGCCACACCATCTTGGTCCTCATACCTTTGATATATTTATATTAGTAGCATTTCTTTCTCCTTCGTGCATTATTTGGCTTTTCAAGTTTATTATTCTGGCCAGTTTATGTCTTTTTCTCAAACTACATAGAATGATGGATTACTTCAAATCTGAAACCACCTTTCTTTCAGTTGTTTTCAGTTATACAGTGAATTTCATTACGCTTTCAAGTTATTTTC